GGGGTTTGGAATCATAAGCAAGGTTTTGACCCACACGCCTGCTTTATTTGCCTTTCGATGATTGGAATGACTAACTCATCCTTTAAGCAGCCCAAAAATGGCGCCCTTTTTCTTAATGGATGTTGTTTGACAAAATTGGTCGACGAACGATTCGTTGGTAAGAAGTACTTAGAAAACCAATTTTTTCTCTGGTGATGCCCCGTACAATTTGATCGTCAGGTGCAAATTTTTCCTGTTTAGCGCGTCTTATGTTCCATGAGCTCATTTTGCGTAAAGCGTGATGCAATGATGACAAGGTTTTGTTTGTGCCCTAAGCGTTTGCTTCAAATCTTTGGCTTTCCTTGTTCTAGAAATCACTTTTTTTGACTTTACAGATCAGTGACGGCGTTATTTGTTCCCTCGGGTAGTTTTTTTTCACTTGCGGGTAAAACTTTTATCTTGATAAATGCTCTCACGAGGCCATAGTAAATTAATTTACACGTTATTGTGCGCATTTGCACAGTGATGCTGTTAGTTTTTCCGATTTCTGTGAATTGCTAATAGGAATGTTACTGTAGTGAACTATTTTCTGTATTTATTACCTTTCTTTTGGTGCTTCTTTAAGGATTTCAACCACTGACTCATAATCGGGAGCTTGATTTCACTTCTCATGTTTCTTTGGGCGTCATTCATCTCCTAAGAAGCCATGTGCTTAATGCTTGAGCGTTTTACGTCTTGACCCTACTTAGACCCATTTATTACGGAAATTATGCTTACGTGACAGCATTGTTGAAAGTCTTACATACTACATTAATTTATCCAATATTGATAATTTTTATCTTTAGTGTAACGTTTTAAGACTTGTTTGCACGAATATGGTTCTATGTGAAGACTCATGGATCATTGCATCTGGTCATATGGCGAAGTTGCCTGGATCACTTTGAGAAGGCGTCAGACATTCTTAAACTGGGTAGTTAGTTTTTGATCCTGATACCTCAGATGAAGACAACAACAACAATATGGCAGTCAGATACAAAATTATGGTTTTACAGGGCTAAGGTAGATACGTTTTTAGAGAAGAGTTGTTCTTTGTGCAGTGTAACAACCGTTGTCTTATAGTAGAAGTTTCACTAATCTGAATTGTTTTGCTTATGCAGTC